GGTTTAGGGTTTAGAGGTTTAGAGCCCCTAAAGCCCCGGAACCCCAAATCCCAAGCGTAAGGGTCTAGTATACAGAAATCATATACTTTGAGATTATTGCACTAGAGATATTCTCTTGGGAGTCTATGGTAACCATGTACTGTACTTTGGACCAATAGGGCACGCCTAAACGCCTGAACAGGCAAGTGTCACCTGACCTACCTCATCAAGAAGGATGAGAAGTGAGCTCCTGGAAGGCACGCTGTTGGGTTTAGGCTTTCGGTTTTTTTGTGCCCACAAGTAGGGTCAAGGCATGTGGTCTCTGCGGTTCAGATGTGGTCAGTGTTGGGCTTGGGTACGCGTCTGGCGCGTGCACGATTCCGGTTCGTTCTGGGCCTTGTGTAAAGTAGAAAGAAGTGAATAACGTGGGATTTGGGTAATTCCTGTGTACAGGTGTTGGGGAAGAATATAAGTACGCGGGGTACTTGGACCCTCAATAACATGGAAGTTGAAAGGGGTCCCTTGACGATTTTGAAGTCCCTTTTAAAACAGGCTTTCATGCCATCCCTAAACCCCAAACCCCAAATCCCTAAATCCCTACATCCCTAAACCCCGAAACCCTAAACCCCAAATCCATAAAAAGCACCTAAACGCTCAACCTGAAAAACCCTGATCCCAAACCAAAACCTGGCCTTTCCTGGTACATTAATTGTAAAGGCTACCATGCGCCCGCCCGTTCGTTGTGTGCATCCTAAGTAGGGAAGTACAGGGTGTTATCCTTCAAATGCTTGAAAGCCCCAAGCCTGAATACCTTGACAACAAGCTACTTTCTCCATAAACCCCCCCTTAGGTTCCCCTCGTGTAAAGGTTATTTAGGGATGGCGAGGGGGTGTAGCAGGGGGGAGGTTGTAGGGGAATCCAGGATTAACACTAAACCCTGAATATTCTCACATTATTCAGGCTTAGGGTTTAGCATGAATGTTATTGATGCATTGTTACTGATGCACCTGCGGTGGTTTCGACTTTATGTCTACTCACGAAATCTTCCTGACAATCTACGTTAGCCCTAAGTTAGCCCTGTATTCAGGCATGTGGCTGAGGGGCTGAACAGCGGAGCCACAACGTCGTGGGCTGAAGATCAAAATCTGAGCGTGCTCAATTCTCCTTGGGATTTAACTTGGACCTTAGACCTTTCACCCTTTGGGATTCCCTGACACTCCTATTATAGGTAACCCTTAGTTGGGGTCCTATGTGCCACGTCGAATTCCTTAGCGGCTCCGGGTTTAGAATTCAGGGTGTTCTGTGTAGTGTAGAGCGCCCCAAGCCTTAAAACCTAAGGCCTAAACCTTACACCCTACTTGGAGGCCTGTGGGACTTAGTAACTACTCATAACTGGGCTGAAAAACCCTACTGAAAATCCACCAAAATGGGCTTAGAGGGGTTACCCCAATTATAAGTAGGGTTCTAATCCCAGTTATAAGTAGTTACTAAGCCCCATGGGCCTCCAAGTAAGCCCTAAAGCCCTAAACCCTAAGCCCTGAACCCGACAACCTCGGGGCTGAGGGTTTAGTGTTCAGAGTTTAGGGCTGCGAGTTTGGGTTCCAGGTTGCCGCCTGGGCCCAATTGACTATATGAGTCATATGAGCCATAGTCTAAACTCCTTAAAAGGGGTTATATAGGGAGTATTATAGGGGTTATTACGCGGGATACCAGGAGTTTAGCCTTTGTTTCACATAATATGTTATGTCTTGTTTTAAGTTTACAAGATATGCTCTGGTGGGTTTAGGGCTTAAGGTTTAGGGTTCCGAGGCCCGCAATTTCCACAATGCATGCTTCTTGCAGAGAGCGGCAAGAAGGAGCTCATTGCTCTCAGGACCTCCACTGGGACTGCGATGGATTGCTGGCATTCCAGGTGTTATTTCGGTGGATATTAAATTCCTGCATGACGCTAAGCTTAAGCCTTGGGAACTATGGTACTACGGTAGAGTAACGTCATGCAGGGTTCTTAGCATCAACAGTATGATACGGCTGGCATGGAAGATCTCTGCATTGTTGAAACCGTGTTGCTGGTTTCTGGCCACTTGTTAGAGTACGCCCTAAACCCTAAACTTTAAACCAAAGCTCGTGTGCCGCTTTTTTTTCTCGTTGAGAATTGGCCGTAGTACGTTCGTTGGTTTACAAGAATGTGGTTGTGGCTACCTGGACCCCAAAAGTAGATAAAATAATGGCCCAGAACCCTGAAAACTAGTCACAACTACATGATTTGGGGGCTTAGGTACCGCTGTGTGAGTGCTTCTTCTTCTTCTTACCTACACCCTAAACCCTAAAAGTCTTCAGAGCGCATGTTGCAGCCATCTGGCTCTTGGACATGCTACTAGGGGCTGAGCAAGTTGATGCGGTCATGGTCTACGGTTTAGGTTTAGGCTTTAGGGCGGATCTACAAAGTAGACCCCCTAAAAGGTTCCTAGAAATTACCCAACAGTAGTATAAGGTACCACTATGGGGGTTCTACGTTC